TTAATTGCCAATGATGGAACGTATCTGAAAGTCAGTTTATCATTTTTTCTCAGAGGTACTTGTGTTGTGAACTCCTCACATCTGGCACAGCTTGCAGGCTGGAACATTCAGAATGATCTACAAAGCCAGAGTGCCAGCTCCAGTTAAAGGAACAACAACACACACAAAAGCAGCAGAGGTCTCACCCCTGATTACTGAACCTTATCTCTCTGCTTTGACCCATGGCCACAAGCACATAAACAGATATAAATGTGCATTGGTGCAGGATTTCAGACGGCCCTCCATGTGCCCGGCCATCAATCCATTAACCTTTGTCCACAAACGTCTCGCCACGTTTAATGTGAGCCAGACAGGCAAAAAGAAGAACAGAGAATGATCTCAAACTAAGCTCTATGAGCATTTAATGGCTTCAGCATTACTGTAAAGACAAAAAATACTGCTACTTTGTGAGGCATAATCAGGCCCTGGGGTTTTGATGAGATTTCAAATAAAACCAGGAAATGGTAATGTAAGAGATTTTCAGGAATTATTGTTTGGGACATTAAGTAGTAATTTTTGACCACTGCTGCAGAATAAACCATTTTAAGTGGTATTAATATTATTATTAAGTCAGGGTATTTGGTATTTGGAGATGTAGGGCTGTACATTGTGGAGATTTGTTGCTATGTGGCAACATTACAGTGGTGAAATAATAAGTACATGGTCAACCAAGATCTGGCTTTAAACATGAAGTTCACTCTAAATTCAAAACAAGGAATTATGGTCAAATGCAATTTAAAAAAAAAAATCGAAATTCAGGGCTTTTCACAGCTTTCACTGCTGGGATAAGCCTCTGAAGACGATGCATGAGACAACCTGCTGTGCCCCAGGCGTTGGTTCTTTCATTACCAGTCTGCTCAGATGTGTCCACAGGCCCTGCAGGATGGTCTGCTCTAAGACACACACACACATTCACACCTGAAGAATCTACTAAACACATGAACACATGCACATGACACAGGCTCATCAAACAACCCACTAAACCCAGAGGGCTGCCAACAGAGCATGTTGGAACATGACTTGACCATACAAACTCTACATCACTCTATCATCAGTATCAGCATTTCTAATACCCTCAAAGAAGATGCAACTCGCTTTTAAGGGATTAAAGGTATTCATTGTTTGGGTGTTGGGTACATTAATTGTACAATTAAACATCTGAAATATTCAGATTGTACACTATTCTCTCCAAAGTTTTTTTCGTAATGTATCAGTTCAGTGTGGCTTCATTCGGGGAACATGGGCAATTTCACGTATGCCAGCTTACAAGAAAATGGGACAGGCTTTATTCACAAGAAGTGGACTGACACTAATCACAATCACAAATGTGGGAAAAATTGGCACACACTCTTGTTTCCTACTAATAGACCTTTAACTACCATGCTAGACAGACTATCGTTGTAAAAACCTTCAAACAAATGCAACGTTTGTCACACAAGGACAACAAAAGAGGTCATCACCCCACAGCATCTCACTGGAGGAGGATGCATCTGATGAATTTAACCATTTCAACCATTTCATTTCAAAAAGGTTGATAAAAAGTTCTTATGTTAATTTGTAATGTAAGTCTTTCAGAATGAACTGATGGTTCAGTTTCTTCAAGAGTGTTTGGAAGTGCCTGGTGCCAGTGAATGGTCAGCCTGTTGAAGTACTGCACATGGAACTATGGTAGTTATAGAAAACATGTATCCAAAAAGTAAAAATCAAAAGCAACTGTCAGAGAGTTTAGCCTGTATTTTCAAAAGATTTACAATCTACCACATCCTAGAAAAGGACATGTGGTAAACGGTACACTAACCATCTCTATCTTCTTCTCTCGCTGTCTCTCTGAAACCTGGGATTCATCATCCTGTGTCTAACCAAGAAAAAAGGGGTGGAGGTTGACATTTCCTGTGGCGGCGGCATCCTTGTCAATTCTCCTGTGTCCCTCTTTTGTATCATCTCTCTGTTCCCTCCCCCTACTCTCCCCCAAGTGTGGCCCCAGCATTACTAATGATTCCCATACAGGAAGCAGAACTCACATAAGGGAGTAAAGTAATTTTCCCTCCTTTGCTTTGTCACTTTCTCCTCTTTGTCACCGCCTTTCATTGAAACTTTTGAGCTTAGAAAATCAACGAGATACCCAGAGAACCTCTGCAACGTCTGCAGCATGAAAGGAAAAGACTTGAATATTAAGCAACATGGTGTCTTGATTTTAGGAAATCAAATCATGGCGCAATAAAGGAAACAATATAAAGCAGACACCAACTACCATGCCACCCTCCACCCCTGTCCGCTCTCTCTCCCTTCCCCTCGAACTCTCCACAGGCCAGCGTCTGCCTCTGCAGAGCGTCTGTCAGCAATGAATCACTGGAAGGTATTTACAAGGCCACAGGACGTTTAAAACACGTGTGGCCCTTTTAACCCATCAACAAATAAATGTGAGCTCCCCTCCCATGTGGTTACATAAACACATATGCTCAGACACATATGCATGATCAATAATAATGCTATAATGTAAAAAAAATTTGATTTTACTCCTTTGGCAGTGGTGTGAGAAGTCGGTGGTCGTCAACATATTTCTGATATATCTGGGGATTTTTTGAGTGAGAACATGTGTATCTGAAAATATGCAAAGACACGGCCAACAAACAATTTCAAAGCCAAAACATTCTTGTAATAGGAGTTAAGCCAAATCAGTGTGCTCTGGAAAATAGTTGTCCATGAGCCCATGTATGTCTGCGTGGGAAGTTTTTGGCTTCAATAATGCCCAAGACACTCTTTTGACCACTACAATCAATATAATTTCCTTACGCAGAAAAAAAGAAAAAAGTGTCAGAGCTATCATTGGCTATCATTGGCTATCATTGAAAGATCATTTTAGGGTCTTTAGAGCAAGCTTGTTGTCTGGAGCCATAGCATGAGAAAGCCAGCGAGTGGTTAAACCACATTTCAGCTGTTCCATGAGAAGAACTGTCGGCCTGCCATCAACCTCAGTCCCATTATCAACAGTCTGCACTGCACAGACGTGGACAAACTGCCCAACCTTCTCTCCCTTTCTTCTCTTTCCATCTCCTCCTCCCTTTTTGTGCTCTTTCCTTCCTGCTGCAGCTTCTCTCCCATAGATTATGTTATTTTCTTTCTCTGTCTGACCCTTAAAACCTTGGCCTGAAAGACTGACATGTGGAGCTTTCTGGTATTCCAGTGAGCAAAGGGAGAGGTGTGTGTATGTGGGGGGGGGGGGGGGGGGGGGGCGTCATGGCTGATGTCCTTTCAACTCCATTGTTCTTTCTGACCCAGGGAGTTGAAGTCCAGATGGAAAAAATGCAGCCCAAGAGTACCTTGTCTCCTCCAAACCTTCCGTTCACTCATTCCTGCTTCAAATCTTAAACATCTGCTCAGCTCTACTCAAAAGTAAGATCTGGTGAAGTACTTTTATTGCTCTGAGTGTATTTTAGTGCAGTGTTTATGCAACTTCTAGCTTCTATTCTAATCTCACTTTTCATTCTGTTGTGTTTGTCTCAGTTTTTCCCTTGTTCAGTTTCAATCCAGTCCTTTCAATGCAATTCAGTGCATCTGAGCCTTATTAGGTTTTTTCCCTGCTGGCAAAAAGGATGTAATGAGTTAGCTGAGAGTTGTGTGGTGGCTTGCCGAGAAGCCTTCAGACCTCTCTTTGATAGAGGAAGCTGTACCATTACGGGATTAATGGCACTGTGCGTTGCCAGGTACAGTTTTTTTCATCTCCTCTTCAAAGCCTCTCACTTTAAGTTGCCCCTAGCAATTTGGGTCCTGTTCTGCTCCTGTGGAAACACAGCACGGTGGGCAGTTCATACTGAGAAGAAACAGGGCCAAAGAGCAGACAGATACGAGATTGGGGTTAAAACACTCTGGTTGCAGTCTCAAATGAACTGCTGAAATGGAAAGTGTGAGAAGCAACAGAAACAACTTTTCCAAATCAAAGTCTTGACAAGAAATAATGGGCTGAATCAACACAAAGAAATCCTCATTGTTACAGCTTTTTCCCACTCATTTGCTTGTAGACTGCACAAACGCCACAGGGAAAGAAACAAAGAATGAAAGAAAGATAAACAAAGAGAGAAAAGGAACAAATAAATGCAACAAATCATCATCTTTTCCACTGACATTAGCAAATGATGACAAAAACAAGAAGCTAACTATTTAAGTAGAAGCTAACTATTTAAGTCTGCCTTCTCCTCACTTAACCCCTTGTCTTTATGTACACATTACAAATCTGATTCACTTTGCCATGTATATATCACACTCACAAAACTAACTTGAGGAATGCCCTTCTCTATGGGTTATAGCCAAATCAACAAGTATCGAAACATTTGGTCAATTGCCACAAACAGCAACAAATGAACAAACTGAAATCTGAAATTGTAAACTTGACAAACTGCTGAAAACATCACATGGCAAAAAGTATGGTGGATACTCTGGAGGTTAACAATGGGCCATAAGAATATGTTTTTTGGCAGAGGAGTGAGCATCAACTGCACTACCACACCCCCCTCCCTAGGCACTGCTCTTTTCACTGAGCTGTATGCAGATTGGACTGGATATGATTAAGGTCTCTCATCTCAAAGCCAAGAGAGCTGTGGGAACAAGACCTAGCAACATAGTCTGGAATATACACAACACACATCAATGTATGAAGAAGTGAATAAAACATACTCAAATCTAATTTAACACACGTATACACATATGCACAAATGTACCTGCAAAAAAAGCACAAGCAGTAATCGTATTTTTGTAAAATAACATTGTCGGCAAATAATATGACTTTTTAATCATGAATAATAGATTTTCATTATCATTCTTCCATTAATGCTGAAAGGCACAATCCAACAAAACCAAGCCATTCTCTCAAGCCTATTCTGTCTCTTAAAAGACTCTTTAAAGATTCACTTCACCCAGTATCACTCATACGTTTCTCCCCTCTCAGAGTTAAAGGATTAACCTACCTGTTCTCAGTAGAAGCAAGGCAAAAAGAGTAGAAGTGGGCGAGATGAGCTTGACTCCCAAAAATCCAGTCGAGAGGGCGGATGAGACTGTGAAGTGGCTGCGAGGGCCTATGGGGTAATTGGACTCGGAGCGCGTGTAGCCAAGATCAAGCAGGTGTGCTCTGTCACAACAAGGGGAGGAGAGAGAGGGCGAGAGAGGAAGAGAGACAGAGGAGAGAGAGGGGAGAGAGAAAGAAGGAGGGAGGGGTCCGACCGCCAAGCTCCTCTCAGGACTGAAACAACTGGTGGAGAACTTGCCCCACTCTCACTGCACACTCCAACAGCTGGAAATGGAGAAGGGAGGAAGAAAAAAAAGGGAGACAGGGAGAGGGAGCAACCAGAGAAAAGAAGAAAGGAGGAAAGAGAAGAAGAGAAAGAGGCAGAGAGTTGGAGTTTAAGGCAATAAGCAGTGATTCGGCTGGCAGCCACCCTCACTGTGACATCTGGTAATGATAGGTCCGGTGAGGAGCTCAGCAAAGAACACTGCACACAAACTCTCTTTCTCCCTCTTTCACACTCTTTCTGTCATTCATCCTCATTCAGCCTCCATACTGACTACCCCCAGGAAAAAACAAAAACACCACACTCACACTTGTCTAATATATTCATATTGGAACCTCCCCCCAGTAAACCTTCTTTGTTTTACCCCCATTCCACAAATCTGGATTAGGTTTGTTTGGGTTGTCTTAATGGAGAAAGAGGCACTATGGGGGACTATGTGGGAGGTAGAAGGCTCCCATTCTTAGTCCCTGTGGTATTTTTTCAACCCCATTACCAGAAAAGAACAGTGATATGGGAAGCTTCTGCCCAACCCCAGAATACGCTCAATGACTATTGTTGAGGGTTTAAAATTTCTCACCCTTTGCAATGCAACTAGGAAAGGATCTTGGCTATGGTCAATAACAAGACTACAGCCATGCTAGCGGCTCTGTGAAGCTGTACTTAGGTACAGTAGTGCTTTGAGCTAAATGTTAATGTCAGTGAGCTAACATGCTCAAAATGCTAACTTACGTTTACCATGTTTACCATATTAGTCTAGCATGCTAACATTCGTATCATTAGTTTTGCAGCTATTTTGTCACAAATTATTGTACAAAAAAAATATTAGAAGTCATCCTGAGGAGGACATGAATCTCTTTACCTAATTTTCCTTCCTACAAAAGAGTTGTCCAGACATTTAACACAAAACCACAAATGTGAACCTCATGATGGCACAAAGGAAAAGTAAGGGGATCTTTAAAATCATTGGGATTCATCCTTTGGGAACCATGAATGTGTGTTCCAAATTTTGTGTCATCCAGTGGATGTTGAGACATTTCACTTGATAAGAGAAACTTTGCTGTTGGCAATGGGAACACCCAACTCATTAGAGCACTACTTCCTGCATTGGCATTGTGCATAAATTATGAGGTGCAGTATCAACCTATATGAATGAAACTCAGATTCACTTCGCCGCATTTTTAGAATTTACTAAATCTTATTTAATCAGGGCAAGGGTGGGGGTTAATTCCCAAGTGAACAACACCTCATCGAATCATCATGACAGGAAAAAGTTGGGGTGGCTAAGTTTTCGAGTGACTGTGTTTTGCTGTTGCAAGAAGGTCACAAGTTTAACATCTGCATTAGCTAATGTCTCCATCAGCAGCCATGTGTCCTATTGGTAAGCAAGTATCTGCCTCTATCCACTTCCTTGTTGTAATTCACTCTAGGTCATAAAACCAGCTATCAAACTTTGAATGGATATGATGATACATGGATAAAACCTTTGTATCAGTAATTTCTATTCTTGTGTAAATCCAGACTTGGTTTCGCTTCGATTACTCGATTTTACTTTATTACTTTATTAAAAGTCCGGTCAGCACTTGTGGATTTGTGTCATAAACCAAAGTTACTGACGGTGCCGAGTCCCAAGTTGAGATGACACATCTTTCTAAAACGTATTTTATCCAAAAATATGTTTTTGAAAAATCTTTTTGAGGCTGATTTGATTTAAAAGGTTGACACTTGTATTTGCACAACATTATATCATAATAGTTGATTGTTTGCTATTTAGGTATGACAGTTAATCAGACACCAGATTGAAGCTGTTGCGTCCTTTCAGATTGTTCACTTCAGTTAAATCCGTGTCTCAGTTCCTCTCTTCTTGTGTCTTTATTGAACTTGTGGTTTTGATCACCGGTGGGATCAAAAGGACAATCCCTGGATGGATTTTAGCATGGAAGAAAGACTGTCTACCTCCCTCAGCCGCTCTCTTTTTCCATTTTCTCCCCGTCTTTTGCTCTTTCTCTTCAAGACTAAAAAATGATCAGATAGCAAAAGAGCAGGTTCCATCCCGTCTAGCATTTCCTCTCTCAACTTTACTGTCTTTCCCAGCAGAAGGCAGAAGGCAAAGGGCAGACCACACACGCGGTGGCCCCAAGTGTGTCGTAATGGTCCATCACTCTTCTTTTGGATGGATAAGCATTGTTTTTTCAGGTTTTTGTACAAAATAACTGACTTAATTGACTTTAGTTAACATGTATTTTGCTGCCTGGAGTTCAAGAAATCCCTAATTTAGACTTTGAGAAGCTCAGATTGAGTCCACAGATGGCGGGAAGGAGAAGAGGAAAACTCTAGCATGGAAAGAGGTCAGAGGCCGGGAGGATTACAGCATGATGTCAAGTATTGGATAAAGCCAGGTGTCCAACACACATGGTGAGATCATACCTGGCAAATTCTACAATAATGGAATCGAGAGAGGAGAAAAAGCCATCCTTCAATCTTAAACAGATGATGGAAAGCAGGCCCCCAATTATAATGGAGCGAGGAGGCAATTTTTGCCATGAGACGTGGCTGTTGTGAAGACGTAGACGTGTTGTGGAGATCTAACCTGTGACCATCTGGTTACTGGTCTCTGCAGAAGAGTTTTTGGGAGAACACTAAAAATGATGTCTGACCTCCATCAGGTAGACATGGGGAATCAAAAGAGTGTAATTTAACAAACAATTTAATTACAGCTACCCTACCAGCTTTATTTTCAAGTGTCAATATCCCAGTGCAGAAACAAAAGAAAAGAGAGACAGAAGTTTCAAAAGGACAGTAAAGGGTATGATGGGATCAAAGGGGGAAAAAACAGACAAGGACAATTACTTTTATAAAGGTGGGATTTCTGGAAGCCTAATGTTTCATGTGTGTGCCTGGAGGTAAGAAATGAACAAAACGGGGGAAGATGAGCAGGAGTTTGCAGGTATTATTACATGTGCTTAGGGGATAAGAGGTTTCAGACAGAGGTCAAAAGGTCCATACAAAGTTGTGACCTCAGCATCTTTTCGTTTTGCTGTAAACCACAGAGGATTTACCAAAAGCAAAAAGGCAGTGCAGTCATCTAGGTGTTGACAGTTGCAATTCTCTGTGCAGAAAAAGGTCCTTAAACTTTAAGCTTGCCTTACCAAACTACTACAGGCTTTATTCATGCACTTCATGTCAGGAGGATACTGTTTGAAATCTAGTCTTAAAGTAAATTTCAAGACAATTTATGAACTGGATTTAAGATTTGTTTTACTCTACACCGAAATAGTTTTTGGATTGTATGGCAAACATAACTGTTTGTGTGTGAAAAAGTAACATAAAGAAACATATGGGGAGTTCTGTGGGTTTGTTTGCCTGTGCTGACATGCTTGGTTAAGGAAACTATCCAGCACCTCATTGTCCCATCACTCAACATGCAAACGCACACACTGTTTTCTGAAAAGAGCTGGAGGATATATCTATGCTCGGTTTCACCTGTATATATCCACTGTGTCTCTCTATTTTTTGGCAATCTGCACACCATTTATACAACTTATTTTCTGTAAAAAGAGAATTTTGGTCCTTTTCTCTCTCTTAAATCTCACACTCAACATATTCAAAACTACCACTCTAAAGCAAATTTCTGTCTCTACCTGCAGATTACAAATGATAGGGCAGAAACGAGAACCATTAAAATCAGGGTCATTAAAATCAGTCAGTGATGCCCTAAAGTGAGAAGATATTTGAGAATGTTAATGACAAAAATATTTATATATATAGTAAAAAAAAACAATTGTGGGTTATATCTTTAGGTCGGGGCAGGTTTGATCAATAGAAGCAAGATGATGGGTGTGGTTTGGACAAGAGATATACCCTCGGAGGATGTTTAGATGAACAACTTGTTTAAACACCTTACCCTTTGTTAGATTTTAATCACTGTACATTTATTGGATTGAATGTCTTTTCCCCAAGAAAACCCAAAATTGAAAGCAGCTCAAAAGCTAAAAACCCTCTGAAAATAATTGAGTTTGATAAAGATTTTTCCGCTTTCATAAAACATTTTGAAATCATGTCATGAGTTCCTACTACAATGGCTTTTGTGAGGAGAGACAAATAGAGAATAACACATAGTCTAATAACTCTGGAGCTCAATACTATGATAGTGTTGGCCGCTGTGCACTGCTTTGCTCAAGGGTACTTTGATGACAGCTATTAGACGAAGGGAAGGCTAGTCATACGTTTATGACAATATTATATCAGCTGCTGGTAGACATAAACTCATAGTATTCCCATTAAAAGCCAATCTTCTCCATAGCTGTATAGTTAATATACTATAACAAGACAGCTGTGCAGCCCGCACAGTCACCAACTCTGGGAAAAATCCTTGTCACGTTCTCATATGGCGAGAACGACCCGGCATGTAGTTTGTGGTCAGCTAGACAGCTATTTCACCATAACAAGCTAAAATGATGTTTCATTTAGAGTACAAGGGGAGCCTTGATGTGGCTTGATTTACCAGTGAAGGGGGATGTGATGGACTGCATGTGTGAAACCATAAAGCCAGATGGCACATAATGGAGTCCCAAGTTACCAAGTATGGTTCAATTAGATGCATTTTTCAGAAAAATGCCACAAAATTAGCATTTAGAATGCTTTTTTAAAAGTTATCCTTCCCTATATATAATATAAATATTTAAAATAGACAGTACCAGTTTCCTGCATTATATCTTTATAGTAAACCTGCACATTAGTAACATTCCTGTACAAAGAGAGTTTTGTTTGTCTCAGTGACAAATCAAATGAAGCCTTTAAAGTGCAGGATTGTTCACACAAATCCCATCCCAGACTCTCTAAGTATTTTACCAGCAGTGAGGTGGAGGAACTCCCAACTCATTCCCATCTCTGACTGGAGTGTCTCAGCCGTGATGGACAAAGCAGACCCGGCACACACATGCATGCTCACACACACAAAAGCAGAGTAGAGGC